TGATTGCCCCATCTGTACCTTGCAATTGGATTGTCTAATCTCTACCTTGCAATCAGATTGGACAATCAGATTGGACATCAAATTGGGCTATCTCAAACTTACAATCTGATTGTCCAATATCTACCTTACAATCTGATTGTCCAGTCTCCACCTTACAATCTGATTGTCCAATCTGTACCTTGCAATCTAATTGTCCAATCTGTACAATCTGATTGCTCAATCTATACCTTGCAATCTGATTGTCTAATCTATACCTTGCAATCAGATTGGACATCAGATGGGGCTATCTCAAACTTACAATCTGATTGCCCAATCTCTACCTTGCAAAATGATTCAGTCTGTTGACAATCTCTAACTTACAATCTGATTGTCCAATCAGTATCTTGCAATCTGATTGTCTAATCTGATTGGACAATCTCTAACTTAAGCTTAGAGATTGGACAATCTCTAACATACACCTATAGGTTAACTGCAGACTTTCTATGGTCAGATGGAAAAAGTGCAACAAATTCCTCCATCTACGCTAAACTGTGTGGATGGAGGAATCCCCCGCGTGGCCAAGCTTCAGTATCTTGCTAGTCCGCCGCACTGGCTCTCAAAACATCTGAACAATTCCTGCATCCAATCAGATTGTTCAGGTATTTTGAGAGCTGACTAGCAAGTTACTGAAGCTTGGCCCAGTGGGAGATTCCTCTATCCACAAAGTTTAGCATAGATGGAGCCCTCAGGGGCAGGGTCCTCCTTACCATCTTGTCCTGTATTGTACTGTGATTGTAATGTCTTCCTTATATTGTAAAGCGCTGCGCAAACTATTGGCGCTATATAAATCCTGTATAATCATAATAATCATAATAATGGAGAAATCTGTTGGACAAACTCTTAATTTTACTTACTTTAGTCTGTTAGTTCAATCAGATTGGACAACCAGATCCCCCAATCAGATTTGACAATCTCTAACGTACAATTTGATTGGACAATCAGAATCCGCCTTTCCAATCACTCTAGTGAAGATCTGTCACATTTATTCAGGCAGTGACTAGAGGTCCCATGATATAGAGGGCTTTTTGTTTGTTGAAAAGGAGACTGGAGGAAGACACTTTTTAAATCAGTACAGCGTCTTACCACTTAGACACTTGTTACATGAGGCTCTGGGTTCTAGTTTGGAGTCTCTCCAGGCACACTATCTGAATGTGCTTGCCAGGGTTTCCAAAACATACAGGTAGATTCATTGGTGTATGAAAAAATAGGCCAGATTTTGTATATAAGCACCTTAGCTTTATAATTGTATTGCATTATATCTGTTGGTAGACAGTGTCCTCTAGTGACTACAATGTAGATTGCAGTCGACTACAATCAGATTACATAATGCTTCTCTGCATTATTTATTTCAGTATTTGAACTCATTCAGGTGAATGAATAAAATATACAACCCCAATTCCAAACACTGTGTAAAATCTACATAAAACAGAATGTATTTATTATTTCTAAATCTCATAACACATATTTTATGCACAATAAAAAAAAAACATCAAAAGTTTAAACTGAGAAAATGTACCATTTTAAGAAAAAAATAATTTTGAAATTGATGGCAGCAACAAGTTGCGACAGGGCCATGTTAACCATGGTGCAGCATCTCCACTTCTTTTAACAACACTCTGTAAATGTCTACCAACTGATGAGACCAGTTGCTGGAGTTTTGGGAGAGGAATGTTGCCCCATTGTTGCCTGATATAGCATTCTAACTGCTCAATAGTCCTGGGTCTTCTTTGTCATTTTTCCGTTTCAAGATGCACCAAATATTTTCAGTTGGTGAAAGGTCTAGACTGCAGGCAGGCCAGTTAAGCACCCGGACTCTTATACTACAAAGGCATGCTGTTGTCATAGATGCAGTATGTGGTTTAGCATTGTCCTGCTGCAGTATGCAAGGCCTTCCCTGAAAAAGGCGTCATCTGGTTAGGAGCATATGCTGCTCTAAAACCTGGATATATCTTTGAGCATTGATAGTGCCTTTCCAGGTGTACAAGCTGCCCATTCCATATGCACTAATGCACCCCCATATCATCAGAGATGCAGACTTCTGAAGTGAGAGCTGATGACAAGCTGGAAGGTCCCTCTCCTATTTAATCCAGAGGATGCGGCACCCATGGTTGCCAAAAAGAATGTCAAATTTTGATTTGTCTGACCACAACAGTTTTCCACTTTGCAACAGACCATTTTAAATGAGCTTTGGCCCAGAGAAGATGGCAGCATTTCTGTAGCATATTCAGATATGGCTTCTTTGCATGATAGACCTTTAAGGGCTCTTTCACAAGTGCGGCAAAACCAGGCATTGGAGAATCATTTTAACGTCTTTCTGCTGTCTATTAACGCCCAATAGCAACCGCCCAGTACAGTTCACACATGGGCATCAGTGTTGCGTTGCGGCAAAAAATAGATTGCATGTCGTGTTCTGGAGGCATTGCAGCTAGAATAATGCCTCCATAGAAGTCTATTGAACAGCCTTTGAAACGCTTGCTCAGCGCTCTCTGGAGCATTGACAAGGCATTAAACAAGCGTTTCACAGGCAGTTTTGCAACAGGAGAGACCCCAAGTTAAACAGTTAAAACAAAAATGTGCGTGGGGTCCCCCTCCTGAACCATACCAGACCCTTTAGGTCTGGTCGGAAAATTAGGAGGGACCCCCCGAGTAAAAAAAAAAGGGGGGGCGAGTGAGCTTCCCCACCTCCTGCACCATACCAGGCCACATGCCCTCGCACTGGGAGTGTGCTTTTCCAGGGTACAAAGGCCTCTTCCTCACATGCCCTGGGGCGTTGGTTGTGGGGTTCTGTGGGTAGGGGAGCTTTTTTGCATCGGGTACCCCTTCAATTAAGGGGCACCCAGGTGCCCCCCACCCCTTGTGAATGAATAATAAAAAAATCCCAACGCTCACCGACCCGAGCAGCAGCCGGCCAAATGTCAACATATAGATGGAGCTTGGGGTTGACGTCACATGCCAGCTCCGCCCATTTGTTTTTATTTGGCCATGACCTGAGAAGACCCACGGCCAAATCAAAACAAATGGGTGGTGCCGGCCATGACGTCAACCCCAAGCTCCATCTACAGTATATGTTACTCCATACTTTTGGATTTTGGACAGAACTTTTTCCACAATCCAAAAGTATGCTGGTAGGTTACGTGGTTGTTAAGGTTGAATATAGACACAGGTCCATCCAGTTGATCCTATGTGTGCATGTGCGTATGTTTGTGTATGAGTCACCAAGCGTACTCATACCCCTGTATATTGCATTCACTGAGGAAAGCATCTAACATGTTTTTTTTGTATGATTCTATACTCTCAGCTGATCCCACTACCTGTGCACGGAAGTTCCACAATTGTACCCCTCTAAGAGTAAAGAATCCCCTCTGCAGTTTGAGATTAAACCTTTTTTCTTCCAATTTCAGGTTGTACTCTTGTCTTCTTAAGTGACCTTAAAGTAAACAGTTGGTTAATGATTCTACCATTACCATGCAACATCTTGTACAGGACAGTAATTTTCCTTCCTAATCACCTCTTTTCCAGAATGAACAAGTATAATTTCTGTAATTGGCTCTTAAACCAAATTTCCAGTTTTCGATGACTGCAAGGCTGAACGGGCAGTGTGCGCTTGCGCACACCGGCGCGTTCGGCAGTTGTCGAACAAGCACACCACTAACCCGCGGAGAATCGTACTGCTTGTTCGACGGAAGTAGAAACGGTCGTACGCCTTCCATACACTTTGCGATTATCGTACGGTCACGGGATTTCCCACGATTACAGTACAATAATCGTACAGTGTATGGGCACCTTTGAGGTGCCCATACACCTTACAATTATCTGGAGATTTTTGGCTGCGATTGTGTTGATGGGAAGTGCACAACCTCAATTACTGTACAACTGGCTGATTTTTGTCTTTCAAGCAGGCTAGAAAATGTTTGTCTAGTTGGACGAAAATCAGTGGGTTATTGGTGATGTTGTACAACAAAATTTTCAAGATGAAAACTGCACATGCTCAAACGAAAACCTGTTCTTTCCATAGATGAGAATCGGCCAGTTAGTGGTGCTGACGAACCTTAATTGCAAACTACATTGGTCTGTGCATAATGGGCTAGTTGAATGAAAATTGAACGAGGGTGAGATGTCTGGGCAAAAAAAGTTGTACAATGGTTGTAGGGTGTATGGCCACCTAAAGGCAGGCACTGGTGTGTGTCTTCTCAAAGGGCTTTGTTTTATGTTGTTGTTAATGGCAAAACTGATGTATAAAAACAACATATATGTTGTACATGATGCCAGGAATGCATCCTGGAAGGACTGTCATGGTCCCTTCAAGGGGATGGAGAAAACAGGTTTTGTCAGAAGTTCTCACCAATGCAGGTGAGGGGATCCGAGAAGACTTTTTAGAAGGGAAGGATTGTTAGTCCTAAAGAGCACAAAGAGCACGTGGAGCGAGCCTGCAGTGTTCCATGAGGTGTCTTTGGAGCAGGACACATGGTTGAGTGTGGAGCTGTGAACTGCTGATTACTGAGACACTGCTGCTGGGTGTCTGTGCCTGTGTGGAAACCTCTTGGAGCTGGCTGAGACTCTAACCATGGTGTGGGACTAACTTACTGAGGGAGTTCGCCATTGACTAACTTTTGCTGAAGAGAAGTTTTGTTCATATGTTTCATTTGCTGAAGATACGCTGTTTCTGTTGGAGTGTTTTTGGGAAGAAAATAAAGATTTACATCCTTATTAAGTGATGTAATGAAAAGCATATTAAAGTGCTATTAAATGTATGCAATTTTTCCATTTAAATATAGATCAGATTTCTCAGCAATATATACGCTAAACAAACAATAAATACCTTTCATGTTGTGCATCTACAGTATATGTTTAATCAATGAGATAAGAATATTTTAGTTTTCTCACTTTCATTTCTTAGGCCCAAATAATGTATCTCTCTCTCTCTTTCTTTCTCTTTCTTTATGTCCATCCATCCCTCATAGTTTGCAGTTCAGAACCAGAAGATGTCCAGGCTGAAGCACAAAACAGCACAAGCCTTCTCATTACATGGAAGAGACCTCGGGTTGTATATGATGCCGTAATTGACAGATATGTAGTCTATTATCAAAAACTACAGGGGGAAGACCAAACAAAGCATCAGTATCTCACAGATGGCTACCAGGATTTGGTAAGTTCATTTTGAACTGAAAAGTAAACATAAGTAAAAAAATTGCAGCTTATTAGCCCCTTAGTGATGGCAGACCATCTCATAAAATTTATTTTTAAAGCTTACCTAATTATAAACTAATGTTTTTATATAACTTTTTAATCATTTGTATAAAAAATCTATGATAAAGCCTTTGTATGATTATCAAAGCCAGATGTTCCAGTCTCTCTAGGACAGAGATCGAGGGTGTGCCTGTCCTCTAAAGGTGGCCATACACTTGACAACCATCGCAAGACCTTAGTCTTGCGATGGTTGTAAAGTAATTTAAAAAACATACGATCTGCCCATCTTGGACAGGCAGATTGTACCCTGAGGGGCGTGCTTTTGATGACCGCAATGCTGAACGGGCAGTGTGCATGTGCGCCAGGGCCGGACTGGCACTAAAAATAGGCCCGGGCATTTTAGACTGAGCAGCCCAATCACGTGACCACCAACAGGCCCCACCCCTCACAAAAGGGGGTGGAGCCAAACTCAGAAGTGCAATCGAGGGGCAGGGCCGGCCACTAGTAAGTACCGGAGGGCTACAGCTGACACACAAGCCTTGCTACAACCAATACACAAACCTTGCAACAATGTAGGAAGCTTGCTATAGAGAATATCTGTAAAAAATAAGTCAAGGCAACTGGACTTGCTGTATTTTACTTGAAGACATTTCACTAGTCATCCAACCAGCTTTCTCATATCAGAAATTTCTGAATTGAGAAAGCTGGTTGGATGGCCAGTGAAATGTCTTCAAAAAAAATACAGAAAGTCCAGTTGCCTTGACTTATTTTTTACAGATATACCATGTGACCTGGATGAATGAGAACCTTCACAGACATATTGCTATAGAGAATCGGATCTCACTGGCCCCCCAACCCCCCTGGCATTCTCTGCACTAAAGTAGCTAACACTCTAATGTCCCCCGCACAGTCACACACTATTATTATACATTTATAAAGCTCTGACATATACCGCAGTGCTATACAGAGAAGTCACATCAGTCTCTGTACAGAGGAGCTTACACTCTAATGCAGAATACCATCAGCTATAGAGGACTAAAAATCCCTGCAAAACATTATACAGCAATGCAGAATAATAGTATATGAATTTGGTACATACTTTGTGCTGCCGCTCTGCTCCGGGGTACCAGCCTGAAGTCTCGGGCAAAGGGTCTCAGAAGGGGAAGATAGGCAGCTGGTGGAAGCCCGGTAAGAAGGCACCGCGTGGTTCCCCAGAAGGCTGCTGCGCGGGACCTAACACAGCCAAATCAACGCAGAAGTCAGTGGTGTAATGCAGAGTACAGAAGTCAGAGGTGCAACACAGAGCACAGCAGTGTGACGCAGAGGGCAGCGCTGTGATGCACAGTGCTGAGGTCAGCGGTGTGACGCAGAGGTCAGCAGTGTGATCTACAGTGCAGTGGTCAGGGTGTGATGCAGAGTGCAGAGGACAGCGGTGTGACTTACAGTGCAGAGGCCAGCGGTGGTGGGGGGGGGGTCTAGTCTAAGGGGGAAAGCTCCAGTCCAGCATGATGCCCAGCTGCCTCCTTGTGCCCTTACTTCAGGACCCGCTCTTTCTTTGCCAATGGTAGCCCTACAGTCTTATTCCTAGCCTATGGCAACTGAAGTGGGCGGAGGAAGTTGCAGGTGGCCACCGAGGAGCCCAACTATTTAGCTGGCTTTCAGAAAGGCAGCCGATGTTCTGTCGAAAACTCCAACTCCTCAAGATCTCCAACAACCTGACTTACTTAGAAGTAAGAGGTTCGGCCGAGAAGGCTCTACTGCACGTGGGCCATATCCGCGGCATTTCCCTACACACATACTACAGAGCAATAAAGTATTAAAATGTGAGGAAACAGCGCACTCCACTATCCCGGCAGTTGGCCAAGAAGACCACACACCCTCATCCACCAGCGCGCATGCCGTGTGGAACGCAGGGTGGTTACAGCTTGCGTCTCAGCGGGACATCATTCGTAGGTCCTACGTACATTCGCGCATGCGCAGTATGTAACATTAGGACTGTAGACTGTGGCTCAAGTGGTAACCAATAGAACAGCAGCACCAGCGCACACAGTAACATCTGCCAACACTATATATGAGGCACACAAGACAAACAGAACCCAAATTCCATTGGTTACCACTTGAGCCTCAGACCATGCATCTTGTCTTTGAAAACAAATACATAAAAAGAAATGAAAATTTCACTATATGATTATAACTTTAGCAAATAGTAGCTGGCTTGTAAACCTGGAACTCGTAGAAGCAAATATAAAAGCTCTAGGTATATATTATTCAATGTTAATACTATTTTGTTTTCTTCAAATAAGTTACAACACAGTTCATGTGGTATAATATTATTATTTAATATTATATATTATTATAATTGTTAATAGTAATAATACTAATATTAATAATATTGTTGGTAATACATCATATTAGTTAACCTTGACAAGACAACTGGATATATGAAGCTGTCAGCCTGTACACATAATGTATCTTATCTAGAAGACTCTATGCTTATCATAGACTCTGCAGAGAACATAATAAAACTTGTGCTGATTGTGCAGCTATTGAAAGGTGTTTGTCACCAATGAAGAAAGAATACATATTATATAACAGTTTTCAGCTATAGCAACTAGGCTGTTTTATTTGATATGTACCAGCTATACTGGCTCTAATGATTTATACAACTATTGAAGTCATTCACTGGTTCTTTACAATAGCGTTTTATTTATTTTCTATTGTAGGGTGCAATTCTATTAAATTTAGTGCCAAACACAAGTTATGTTCTCCAAGTTGTAGCAATGTGCACCAATAGCCTTTATGGAAAACGCAGTGACCAGGTGGTTCTTGACATGATGATGGATGGGCAAGGTATGTGTTATACAATTTCTATAACAATAGTTTATACTGAAGTCTCTTGTCTGATCATTCTGCCCTTTTTGGTGGGTAGTATTTATTGCTATGCTTTTTAAAGCAAACTTTGTAAAAATGCAGCTAACAGTAGAATGCAATGTATTGAATTTTCATGGCTGATACAGCTGTGCTCAGTGAGCAGAACAGTAGATGCCTGAAATTCCCCAGCTCTAATAAGTTTCTAGACGAGAAAAAAATGTTTTATCGATTGAGAAATAATATGAGATCTTATAAAATTCTTTGATTTGAAATATACTTCCAAGTGAGCATGGGAGTACAGCAGTAACAGGAGCTGAAAATGTACCCGCATGGCCGGAATTGGGCTTTAAGGTTTTAGTTAATATAATAGTTAATGTGAAATTATGGACAAAATAAATAGTGACATAAATAACACACCATTTCAATAGCATTAATACAATGCCCCTCTGTAACATATTTTTTATTACCCAATGATCTTGTCAGTAAATATGTTACTTTCTTAAACAGAGTGACAGTGCTGATTATTCTGCAGTAATTGCTCAGCAGTGTTGTACTTTGTGGACCGTGTAGTCTTAGGTGGACATGTAGTTGTAAATGGACTTTAATAGGTAAAAATGAAGAAAATATCAATAAAGGCATGTGGAATATAAAAGTAGTTCATAATAAGTGATTTATTAATTACATGTATTATACATTACATGTATTAACCACAGTTTCTAGAATACAATGTTTTTCGCTATAGTTGTCCCTTATCTAACTCACTATTAAAGTAAGCCTTATCTGGCCTAAAATGTGCACAACCTTGTATTACCTGCAAGTACCTGTATTAAAGTCTAGGCCTAGGCTGTACATGGGATCTCAACTTCTGTCCAACTTGAGATTAAGCCCACCCATCAACGCAGTAGGCCCCACCCACCGCCATACAACTGTCAAATGACAGAGTCACAGTGACATTCTAGCATGAGATAATTAAATGACAGGGTAGGGGCTTTATAAAGGGGGAATGTGGCTTGAAATTGCTCAAGATAGAAGTCAAGGCCCCATGTACAGCCTGAGTCAAGGACCCAAAGATCAACTGAAAGATCAACAGAGACACTTGCAGGTAGCAAGGTACCTGTAATTCAGTGCTGTTGTTACCTTAATGTTTTGGGCCTTGTCAAAAATTAGCATACACCAGTAATTAGAATGTCTAGGCTAGCCAGTTAGTCTGTACAGTAGTGTTAAGGTCCCAAACCCCTCAATGGCGGCCACAAATATACCAAATGGTTGTGAGCAATTTCAATATTATATACATTTTTTTGAGTGTGTGTACGTACAGTATGTACAGGCATATACTCTGTTCTATTAGACTGAATTGTAAGCTACATAAAAGATTTATCAACCCATTGGTCTTAAATTCTGTGTGGAATTTTGAGAATGTGACTAGCTATTGTGTTTACATGCATCCTTTTTTTCTGGTGATGCAGGTACTGTACCATGTTTTTGCAAGATTATAGATACCTCCGTACTAATTAAGTTATAATTTGATTCTTATGAAATAGTTTTAGTATTATATGTGGTAAGGTGACTATACAGTATGTAGCATGTAAATATTGCAGTGAATGACTATAGATAAAGTATACAAGATCTGCTAAATGGGAATTTGAATGTAGCATACTATGTTATGGATTTCATTTTATCTTATTATTTTATTTAACTTATTTATTATTTATTTATCTTATTATTTTTTATCGCATTATCAAAAATGTATTACTTTGGAAACTGTGTTTGTTATGTGCTTCATAATATCAATCATTTTGTGTATTCATAAACTTACCAACACCATTACGTTCAATTGTATCTTGTCAGCCATAATGGTCATACTCCTAACATTTTATGTGACATAGTTACATTATTCCATTACAATACTATATATTTAACATTATGTCATAATTGGTTGCATAAAAAATTATTTATTTTCTCTCACTTCAAAGCAGTGTTCTAGCTATCATTCTTTCCGCTTTCTTCTCAGTCACTAAATCTAAAAGTGCTTAATGGCCCTATGCAATATGTGACAAATTCCATTCATCTTCTAAAGACTTTACTTGCGGTGTTTGCATTTCCTTTATTATCTTCTGACTATGTTCTAAGCAAAATAAATGTAAGATTTGAAATACAACCAGAGAAGATAACTAAATCCAGTTATCTCAATTTGAATGACAGCTTATTGCATAGGGTCTCTTGCAAGTGACACATATTAATCCGCTTCACCAAAACGGCACGTGTTTTCTGGTTTTCACAAGCAAAATATAACCAAGAATTATTGGAGCCTATTCTTGTTGTCTATTGTATGTGGTCATTTAAGAACTAAACATTGATTCTTCCCTATATTGTTGTCTAACCATATGTACTCTATGTTGTAATGGTTAACATTTACACATTTTTGGTGTTTTTGTATTAATTTAATTTATAGATTGTGTTGTTGTTCATGGTGTAGTTTGTGTACATTTCATTATAAATGTTTTTTTCTCATTCTATTATTACATTATTTTTCATATAGATGAAAATCATGTAATAATTTGTCTTAAATGTAAACATAGCTTGTCCAAGTAATGCTGAGCACTTGTTACCACCACTGAGTAATGCTGAGTAATGCTGAGCACTATGTTACCACCACTCCATAGGGTTTTAGCAGTCCTTTAGCACAATGCATTAAAGGTTTTTAGGCTAACAGATAAGGAATAGATGTTAAACATGCTACCTGCTAAATAAGTGGAAGTCAGAAAAACTCAACGCCATTATATGTAAGGTAAGACTTTTTTCTATTTGTTATTTGTACCATCGTATTATTAACAAGAATGTAAGTAGTTCAAATAAATGCATATGGTATTAGAGAATTGGTAGCGTTTGCCAGGCAAGGAAATCAGAATGATAGAAATGAGAAATATACAAAATAGAACAGAAAAGATTAAAATAGTGTGTTTGTAATATGTTTGTTCTGCAGTTCAAACTTTGCAGAAAGATTCAGATATAACATAGGTTTGAAAACCCAAGTTGGGTTGACAGCCATCAATTACCATTAATAGTTCTATGTTATACCAAGTATGATTTCAATTATTTACTACTGTATTTAGGTCCTAATTGTAATTATTATACTTGCTTCCACCTAGAAAGTCTGGTAAAAAAAGTATACTGCCTTATATTGGAATCTATACTGTTATAACTAATTTCAGGATTAAGGTTTTACCATGCTTGGCAAAAAGTCTTGGGCTGTCTTAATGCTCTCAGTCAGTGAATAAAATAAATACATACAGTATATAGCATTTCTCAATCTAAAAACAGCCATGTTTGAATATCTGTAGACACTTTAAAGCTAAGCAAGAATATTACTTTTCCATGGTGGCTCTTTAGTAACAATTATAGATAAAATATCAAAGTAAGAATGCAAGCTGCCTTTGGTTCACAGCTGAACAAGACCTTTATAACTGTAGTCACAACCTTCCATCTAAAATAAATAATACATTATAATAAACAAAAATGTAAATGTACTCATTGTACATCCTTAGATTAAAGCAACATGGTTAATGCAGTTGATCATCTTGAAATCAACCATATCTAATTGTTTATAATCTGACCCCTCATCGTATTCCTAAACAGGGAAAAAGGATCAGCCATGTGTTGGTGTCTAAAAGGAAGGTACATAGCTGACTTTATAATAGGGATTCGCCTTGAATTAGGAATTAGTTCAAATACCGAAGCTAAAGTTGTTAAACATCTTTTTTTTTTTTACATTATTACTCTCTTTTTTCAATTCAGCTGTTATGGTAATTGATTTTCCTTATTTTTGCTATATATTGTTTGTTCTTGCAGGAAATGACCCATATATTGATGTAACTGAAACAGAAGAGGAAATAGAGGTAATGTAGCATAGAGATATATTACTGACTGGGCAGTGTAGGGAGTAGCCCATTTTTATAACAACCCCAATTCCAAAAAAGTCGTGTAAAAGCTGTGTAAAATCTACATAAAAACAGAATGCAATGATTTACAAATCTCATAAACCCATATTTTATTCACAATAGTAAATAGAAAACATATCAAATGTTTAAACCGAGCATGTACCAGTTAAAAAAAATAAGGTAATTTTGAAATTGATGGCAGCAACAGGTCTCAAAAAAGTTGGGACAGGGCCATGTTAACCACAGTGTAGCATCCCCTCTCCTTTTAACTTCACTCTTTAAATGTCTGGTAACTGAGGAGACCAGTTGCTGGAGTTTTGGGAGAGGAATTTTTTTCCCATTCTTGCCTGATATAGGATTCTAACTGCTCAACAGTCCTGGGTCTTCTTTGTTGTATTTTTCGTTTCAAGATGCACCAAATATTTTTAGTCCGGGTGCAGGCCAGTTAAGCACCCGGACTCTTCTACTACAAAGCCATGATGTTGTCATAGATGCAGTATGTGGTTTAGCATTGTCCTGCTGCAGTATGCAAGGCCTTCCCTGAAAAAGACATCATCTGGGTGGGAGCATATGCTGCTCTAAAACCTGGATATATCTTTCAGCATTGATGCTGCCTTTAAGATGTGCAAGCTGCCCATTCCATATGTACTAATGCACCCCCATACCTTCAGAAATCCAGGCTTTTGAACTGAGCGTTGATAACAAACTGGAAGGTCCCTCTGCTCTTTGGTCTGGAGGATGCGGTGCCCATGGTTGCCAAAAAGAATGTCAAATTTCGATTTGTCTGACCACAGAACAGTTTTCCACTTTGTGACAAACCATTTTAAATGAGCTTTGGCCCAGAGAAAATGGGACGGTGTTTCTGTATCATGTTCAGTTATGGCTTCTTCTTTACATAATAGAGCTTGAACTTGCATTTTTGGATGGCACGGTGAACTGTGTTCACAGGCAGTGATGCAGTTATGTCCATCACAGAATCATGCTTGTTTTTAATGCAGTGCCGTCTGAGGGCCAAAGATCCAAAGGGCATCCAATATTGCGTTTCAGCCTTGTCCCTTGCACACAGAGATTTCTCCAGATTCTCTAAATCTTTTGATGATATTATGTACTGTAGATCAGGGCTTAAAATTTCCACTTGCCTGCTCGCATTTTGCGAGTAAAAATAATTTGGGCCCACAGCCAGCTGACATGTCAGGCACGCGGTCGCAGACCGCGTACCTGACTTGCGGGATAAGCTCCACGGTCTGCATCTGTCTCAGATGCAGACCGCAGAGCAGCTCCTGTCAGTTCCGGCTTCCTTCGGCCGGAGCTCTGACAGTTCTGAGCTCCGGCGAAGGAAAGAATGTCTGTGAGCAGCATTGATGCCTGGCTATCTAGGTGTGATAGGGAGGGCTGCTGCAGATCTCACTAATCACTCACAGATTGGGTTGGGGGACGGGCCTGGGCAAGGTTTGGTGGGACAACTGGTGGAGAGGAAGGTTTTTGCCTGGCTAGTAGTTCTAGACTTGAAATTTTAAGCCTTGCTGTAGATGGTGATATATTTATCAGTTATTTTTAAGTCTTTGCAATTTTACATTGAGGAACATTATTCTGAAATTGTCCAACATTTTTTACTTCTGACTCTCCAAGATGCTCTTTTTTATACCCACTCTTGTTACTGACATGTTTCCAATTAAACTAATTAGTTGCAAAGTGTTCTTCCAGCTCTTCCTTGCTAGTATCACTTACTTTGTCAGCTTTTTGTTGCTCTGTCCCAACTTTTTTGAGACATGTTACTGCCATCAATTTCAAAATTACCTTATTTTTTTCTTAAAATGGCACATTTCCCAGTTTAAACATTTTGATATGGACCTATTGGAGAACTGCAGGAGAGGGCGGGTACAATGCTAGTTTACTATTGGCTATTGCAAATTGAAATAGCCAATAGTAATGTAGCAATGCATTTCAATGGGAATTTTTTTTCTATTCTGACATCGCTCCGTGTCAGAATAAAGAAAAAAAAGAAACAGCAGTGTTTCTCTTCTTGGCGGCCGGGAGCAAGAGACTCCCAGGGCGCCAGGGAGAGTTAGCTGTTTGTAGATCAGTGTCCCTGGTTAGCAGGTAGCCAGGGACGCTGATCTCTCTGCAAGTGGCCGGAGCTAGCCGTAAGATCACGGCTGGCTCCGCCCAGCTGTCAGAAGCACCTTCAGACCTCAGATTAGCCCTAAAACCTGTAATTCTTTTTCTAGCTCAGTCTGAATAAATGCTGTGGATGAAGCAAACTGCTAAAGACGCCTTTATCCTAAAATGACATTCCCTTAAGCATTCTAGTGGTGAGGTAGAGAGATAGTTGCAGTAAAAGTGTAGCTATGGTAAACATAAAACAGCTATTTATATTATAGACCATACCCATAAATAATATAATATTCCCACTGTTGTTTTTTTTTAAACAATCCTTGTTTTAATTCCAAACATTACTGCTGATCCTGCCAGCAGACTCCTTATGGGTGACTTTAGTCATGCTCAAGCATGATTGCTGAAATCCCTCCAGTTATTACCCTTGCAGCTGCTATACCTGCTCACACTGCAACGGGATGGTGATTCAGAATGTCCCACCATTGGCACCATGGACCCTCTACAATCAGGTCTCTCATCAATGCTCACCCACCTAATTCCACCTCTCTACAATTGGCTGTACTAGGAAAGCTGCAGTATCAATCACTACCCATAACGCCTCATATACATATACCTCCTAGTAGTGTTCATTAGAGATGTAGTTTCGACAACAGCCTAAACATCACAGAAGTGACAGACAGGCACTGCTAGAATCCCCCCAACTAGCCCCAAAGTTTGTGAGAGGCTACAGGAACATTTACCAGATTTCAGTGATCTAACAGGCTTGTTCACACAAAAATAAAGTGCTCTATTAATCATGCAGAATAAAATGTAAGCTTTACATCTATTTTAATTGAATTGTTTGTTACTTTTAATAACTGTCTCAGTCATTAAAGTAGAACTGTGGCCAGGCTTTCCACATTTAGATGTTCTGGACTCTTTATTCCCATAGATAAGCAGAAAATAGAGTTAGACTTTGTTATATTACTTTTTACCTCTAAATACATGTATAGATATAAATTCTTCAAAGAATCAGTTATGTAACCTTTGTGTTCATGTGCAGGACAGCAATGAGGACATGCAAGAAAAATCGAATAACATATATGAATTAACGTCACGCACTATTAGTACCAAAAATCAACTGCAAGTACCAGGAACCCAAGAAACAACTGTTCGTAACTTGGAAGAGATGACTTCTCAGCCATATAAAACAACACAAGAAACCTTGCAGCTACACGAGCATCGTGATAGTCTTAAAACTTTGCTGTATCCTACTTTGCAATCTACATCTAAAACATATATCGCTACAACCACTGATATGTATAAGGAAGTTGTGAAAACCATTGAACAAGAGGAAGATGATGAAGACAAAAAAAGCACAGAGCTAAAAAGTAGAGTTGACATATGGATGCTTAATGACTCCGTAACTACCAAATCACCCTCCACAAATGACGCCCAAACCAGTGCTGTTAACGATCTTTCTGTGACCTCTACCAGCTGGAGAAAGAGAATTTTAATGCCTACCCGGAGACCTCCGCAAATTATTAGTGACACTTCTGTAACTGCTTCAACTACCTTTTCAGCAACACTTACTCCAGATGAGACATCTCAAGCAGATCCAGTTTCCTCACAGGCTCCAGAAGAATATACTAGTGAAAACATCCCTTCTAGCACCTATACAGGTATTAAAAGCGTAGTCCGTGATGATAACTATGAATCATTCAATGCTACTTCCCAACCTCAAGTTTATTCTGATAAGAGGAGGCTAGAAATGAGTCTTGTTGTTACATCTGATATTGAATTGTCATCCTCGTCACAACCACCACTGTCCTCTTCTCCCAGTGAAGAAGATCTAGAGCCATCCACTGTTCTTCCTGAAATGGAAAGACCCTACTTTTCAACTTCTACTTTTTCCCCAGTTGAAATATTTCAACCTTTCTCCCCAAGCTTTGGACAGCATGGCTCTGCTTCTCCGAGTGAGGTATTCGCTCAGACAACACAACCAATATTTAATGGTGAGATACGTCTTCAACCCTCCTACACTAGTGAAGTTATTCCTCTAGTTACCCCCTTGTCTGATACTCAGTTCCTGAAAGCTACCCCCACCGCTTCAGATATTGGTCTGACCCTGCATGTCACACCTGTGTTTCCCAATGTCGATGTATCATTCGAACCTTCTCTGTCTTCCAGTGATGGCATTCCCTTGCATACATTTTCCTCCGCTTTCGCCACTAGTAAAATGTCTCGCCATCATGCAGTATCTGAAATGTTTTCACAAGTCACGCAGACGGTTGCAACTGATACACTTTCTTTGCATGTTTCTTTGGCCTTGCCTGAAACCAATGTTTTAGTTCAGCCAAGCCAAACACATCATTCTGATGTGACACCACATCAGACTGCTCATGCTGCTTCTGAGATCTTAACATTTGGTCATGAGGGTGACACCTTTAATAATGTTCAGTTTATTTCACAACTTGAAACACCAAGCACTGATTTAAAGATGCATGCACTTTCTGTGGTGTCTGAACCTGCCTATTCTTTGTCTAATAATGTGGCTTCCACGGAAAGCTTTGCTATTACCTCTGACTCATCTGTGTTTTTGCATGATTCTGTGTGGGTATTTCACCAGGGTACCTTAATAACAAAGCTTAGCACTGAACTGTATCTTAAGCCAAGTACTGTTATAACACCAGAGGATGTTTTACTTCAGCCTACACACTCCACGATACATGATGGGGAGAACTCAGAAACATTCTCTGGTAGTGGGTTCTTTTTTGATGGGATAGATGGTTTGAAAAGCCATAATGAGACCTCTCCTGCTGCAGTAGTTAATGTTAAATATACCACACTTGAGCTTAATCAGAGTGAGTCGATTACCGCAAGTCTTAAAGTAGATGACACTGGATCTCAGACTACCTCCACTTATGGTGAAATAGCTCCAGGTGCAAATCATGAAGTCATGGCAGATCTTTCTTCATCCAATGTAATTAGGGAAACTCAGTCCTCACCTGACATCCACTCAGTGTCTCTACCCACTGCCAGGAATTTTGAAGCTGACATTAATGCAATGTCAGAAAATCTGCTACCTGTTCAGCCAGTGAATTCTGTAACTACCACCTATGGTGATATATTGCTTAAAACTATGCTTGCTGCAGCCTCAAAAACTGTCTCTGCTTCTACTGATATGCTTCTTTTGCCAACTCAGGAAATCTTTTATGAGACATTAGAAAAAGCCACTAATGAATCACTGACACAAATGGCCTCACAGTTGCCTAATACTAGCATTGCTTTGGCTGTGCCCAGTGTTGGAGAGTTGAATGAAACATCCAGTTACCATTACGTAGGCTCTAACACTGGCTCCCTGCTATTGCCTTCTTCTGTTGATGCTACCTCTGAGTCTTTGTTGCATACTACATATGTTCAGTCTGTTTATAATTCTTTGTCCCCGAGTTCTGTTGAGCCTGCATACGCACAGCAAACAATGTCAGTCTTGCATGAAAATGTTGTTGAACCTCATTTTTTCACTAATGTACATTCAGATGAAATTGTATCATTGTCACATGATAATGGCTTAACTGTTCAGCCTGTAGATACTGTGCCTTTTTTATCTCCTGCAAAATCTCATGCGGTTTCTACACCAGTGCTGCCTGTCAATAGGTTAACCCAGCAAGATGCTACCCTTTATTACCATACTCCACCATATGCTTATCCTACGCATGGCATTTCTGTTGTGTCTTCGCAATATTCTAAAGGCAGTGTGTTATCCACCTCTGCACTTGATACTGAAGCTAAAGAGTCTGTTCTCCATCATATTATTTTACAAAATGTATATGTTTCTGTTACAGCTGATTCTCCAAACAGTGAGAGTCCTAGCACATTATCAGTGTTAACTGCTACAACTCAAACACCAACTGATGTGTTGTCTACTGTCAGCTCTGATACCAAAACGGGCCCTTCTGTAGTGGATGATGGTTATCTTGTTGTAGCTATTACAGATTCCACATCACATACAGAATCCCAAGAAAGTGTGGTAGCTGATGTTAGTAGTTATGTACAGCTCGTACCAACGAAGAATAATTTAAGCTTGAGTGAGCCCAGTGAGACAGCAGAAGAAGGAAGTGCCTTGTCAACAGCTGCATCGGACATTCAAATAAGCCCTGATCCTGAAGAAAGAAGCCTTTTCACGACCCCCAGCACAGAACCTAAAAAGCAGAGTGACATGACTTTACTGGAGACCCACATTCAGACGGAGTATATGGCCGTGGAAAATACTTCTGAGTCAAATTCTTGGGCAGTACTGACTGGTGATGAAGAAAGTGGTTCGGGTCAAAGTACCTCAGATAGTCTTAGTGATAATGAGACTTCTACAGATTTCAATTTTTCTGACCTTAATGACAGAGACAAAGACTTTGAGGTTGCAGTTGAACCAGGTAAAGCAGATTTAACACCTGGATCTGAAATGTCAACACTACCATCTATAACTAGTGATCGTTCAACAGTAGCCAACGTGTCTGAGGCAGGTTAGTGGTGGAGAAAATAGGTTATGATATTGCCTCCTATATAAGGAAATTATTATTATATGTTCTTTTGTGAAACATTGGCAATATTCTGATTTTTAATGTAGTATGCAAACAGTGTTTTTAGAAAAAAAAAAAGAGTATGTGCTTGGAACAAGTGGCACATTTTGAAGTCATTCAAGTTTGTAGAAACTTTTAAATAAGTACAGGTTAACAGATCCTTTCAAGCCAGCAGTCTAGACATGTTCCTGGTAAGTCTGATTTTATTTTTGGATATGACTGCAGGATTTTAGATACAGTATTGTTTTTGAGTTAGATAGTTTTTTTTTTTTTTTGCAATGTAACTGATGTCATAAAATAAACCGTACTATTAAACTTGACCATATACGATGATTCCTAACATAGCTTGCGCTTCTTTTAATTACTTTGGTTATGGATGCACTAGCTTCAGCAAAACTCCTCCTGTTCTTGCAACTGGGTCTTCTTGCTTTGCTATCCTTTGCTTCTGGATTCTAATCAAATAAATGCATTAAACAATGTAACAAACAATGCAACCAATTGTTACATATGAACGCATGCAGCATGTCCTGATCAAATAGTGGATTTTCTGCAACATTAAAAGGTGTTCCTCTAGGCATTGGGGGATACATATATACAGAACATTGGAAAACTGTAGGGTAAGTTGTTTGTACAAAACTTGTTAAGTGTCTTATATGTATGAGGACTTAGCCCACAGTTGGTCCATGTACTCACTGATACACAGGGATGTACTATTTTTTAAAGGTGTCATCAACCCTCTTTGGCATCAAATGGCATTGTCTAATTAACACACATGTGAAATAGTTTTCTGGATATATTATAATATGCTGGCAGAGTAAAAAAATAAAGTTGATGCCCATAGTAACCAACTTCTATTCATCCATTGTTTACTGCACATGTTACTAGTTACTTTGGGCATCACTAACAATTCTCTTTTCTCCAGTTTGTATGCATGAGCTCCATGTGTTTGGATGGTGCTTGCATTATTCCATACTGTAGTGACCATATTGTCAAGGCAAGTAAGGATTTTAATCATAGTGTACTTACATAGATCTGTATTATTGGAAATGTTTCTTATCCTTCTGCATAATTCAAAATGAGACGGATGTATGAAATTGTCAAGTTTTATAGCCCACATTTTCTGTACAGAGAACACACACCAACACAAGCACACATGTATGAAGTGTTGTATGGCACTGGATACATGTTAGTGTCCCTGCTTTGTTTTACTACGGCAACTTTTCCTTTGAATTATCTGGCTATATTTCAGGTTCAAAATTCTCCACCTTTATGCCATGGAATGCAAATTTCAGTTAGGGAAAATTAAGTGAAAACTCAACACTTAAAAATGTTACTTTGTCTGCTTTTTAGATCGGTTAAGGTTACTTAAAAAAATTTTTGCATGACGAACAATAGAAGGATATATATTTAAAACAAAATATTATTTAAAATTGTAATATTGTAACAGAGCTTTTTGTGGAGGTAAGCATACAATGTAAAAGTTCACGCAAAACTGCAAGCTTAAAGTGACACTAAACTCAGGAGTTAAATCTAACTATTAACACAAATGTATCTTATTTGTGTATCATTCAGCTGTAGATGCCCAAATCATCTCTGAATTGGTGCTGACACTGTCCTTCCTTCTGGAGGGTGACTACTTTTGTTCCCCATGGTCTGTGTGTGTTGCAAAGTAGCTACTGCTCCAAGCTCACTCCTGCGATAGACTACAAGCTCAGTATAAATTAGTAAACTAAATGTGAGATTGTAGTCCGTCCCAGGAGTGAGCTTGGAGCGGTGGCTACCTTACAACACACATAGAGGCCATAGGGAACAAAAGTAGCCACCCTCAAGAAGGAAGGACGGTGTCAGCATGAATTCAGAGATTATTTGAGGATCTACAGCTGAGTGATACACAAATAAGGTACATTTTTGTTAATAAGTAAGGTACTTAAATGCATTTTTAATATTTAACTCCTGAGTTTAGTGTAATTTTAAAATATGCAGTGCTATGACTACTGACCTTTAAATTATACTGTAACTGTGCAGGCTTACTTATGAAAAAATATGTATTTGCCCCCTTGTTTAGCTATATTTATTTGATTATGACCCTTAGTTTATGAGGGTCAGAGACACCTGACATCTGACATCTACCCTGTCAACTACCTGACCTCACACATAAAAGATGAAAACAGTTAATCTGTTTCACTAATGGAGTAGAGAATGTTCACTTAGCAAAGTCAATATTTACTTAGGAATGTGTATCTTCACATTGCAAAAGTGAATCGTGTTAAATAAGGTAAATATGTGTTCATTTTAAAAATTAAAAATATATATTGTGTAATCATAGTAAAAACAGGTTCATCTTGCTATGTGAACAGCCTCTAACTCCTCTATTAAATGAAGGTCAGGCACTTGACAGCGTACCAAATATTAAGCTTCAGGTGACATCTTATCCATGAATATTTTTCATTAACTATCACATTCAGCTAATGAGGATGATTAACTAAAGGATTTGAGAATGTTGACACAATGCATTGTGTGAAGATTCATTTCACTTATCCAATCATGTAAAAAACATGAATTCCTGTTTCAAAAGGAACAATGAAACGTGCTTGTTAAAGTCAACTGCCAACACTTTGTGCATATTGTTTTAGGTATGCAAATTAGTCATAGAGCTATTGCCAAGTTAAGTGACGCAGTTTGGCCTGGGCATCTTGGCCTCAATGACGTCTGGTTAAGTGTATTGATACTAAATGAATTGAGCCTGTTCACATTGCAAGGCGAATGTTAACTTAGCATTCCATTTAATCTAGCATTGATGTTTAATCATGTGCAGGGCAAATAGGAAAAACAGGATTTTTGCTTGCAAGTAATTTGGTGATTGATGTAATCACATCTTCCCTAAGCTAAGTGAACATTTACTTTACTAAATGAATATTCACATTATTCACATTTCAGTCTCTTTTGCTTTAGTAAATAAACTACATTGCATCACGGGTTGGCTTAGGTATATTGATACCTGTATTTGCTTTATGATTGAAACATGCAACTTAATTTAAAAAAAAGTTGCCAAAAACATTACTCCGTATCATCACACTTTCATGTGCTGCCATAGATTTTATAGTTAAATGTGTAAAAGAACTGCATTATTTCCACAAATTAATATTTTATTTATTAGAAAATCAGGGCTAGCTGGCATATTTAGTCATATCTTGCTGTATCCACTAGATGGTGCCATCTTCCATACAATAGCAATGTTATGATAACACTAGCACAGTCATTTCAATAGGATATCCCACAGGAAAAGGAAATAAATACACTAGATGCCCTTTGCAAACATTAACATTAAACATTTTAGAACTGTGAATAATCAAATGAATTCCAGTGAAATTCTGATCACCAACCAGCAACTTGCCAGATTAATTATTAATCCAGATTGCTGCACATCTATAGAATATACATGATCAGAAGTAATCAAAAGTAGGTTTTATTTTACTGGCCACTGTTACTCTGGTAATAAATGTTGGTGTACAACTGGATGACTTGGCTGTAAACACATATTCTGAATTAGCTGTGATTGCATACTTACAACAAGAAAGGATGGGAATGTAGGCAGATACCTCTATCATCGAGGTAAAGCAACAACAAAAACAATGGCCAAAACCCTCCCATATGGCTGACTGCTGGTTCCCCCAAAAGCAATTGGCTGGTTGTGTAAGGGTTTGCTGCTGTGCATACGAGGATTATCTCCTGATATGGTCTTTGCAGCTGATTCAATTATTACTTTTTTAAAGGTTTCTTTGTTATCAGCCATCAAACATCCAATAATATGTCAATCAGGGCTAGTTTTATCAGATTACTTACATTTCTGGATTCTCAGGTGCTGAACTAAGAGTTTTATACTACTTCTTGCTTAGTATTTCAAGTTTGTAGTAGTGTCCATAACATATAATCATCATCGCTTACAAAATGTAGAAATAACTGGACCTCATGTTATTTTGATGGATTCCAGTGATTTAGTTTTTATACAAGTATATCCAGTTCTTTCAATACCCATGGCTTTTAAAGGTAAATCTTAGTGGTAATTTTGTCATTTATTTTATTTTATACTCGTAATATACAGGGGTACGGGTACTCCTAGAATGAGATCCTAATAGGTTGGACTTGATGGACTAATGTCTTTATTCAACCTCAAATACTATGTAACTATGTAACATTTAGAATGATGAAGTCAGTGGATGACATAAGTCTTCCCCACATGTTTGTTTGATTCACTGTCTTTACCACCAAGAGTCATGAATTAGTTTATCTATGCTGCAATGTACTCATGCAGTCATTGGAGATCACAAACCTTTAGAAGAAGGCAGTCCCCATATCCTTGTTTTATGCAAAGATAAATATACTTGTCTCATGCAATTAGTTTAGAAAAAAACATTTTCAATGTGCACAGGTGCTGGGGAAGCATTCTGAAATGAACACCAGAGAAAGCACTTCTGCATTTTTAGGAAAATAAGGCCATGCAGAATTTCTGTCTGACCTTACATTTTGGCCCATTCACACTTGTATATGTGTGTATTGTGCTTGTTTATTTTGAATAGGTTGGCAGTGTACCTCAAAACATGAAAACCCATGCACGGCATATGTGTTGTGGTGCACTGTATTACTGGTGCATTAGCATCTACTGTCTTTGTATGTTGAGGTACCATTCCAAATGGCAGTTTCCACAATCATAAGTGGGAAGCCAGCCTTTTATGTTTAGTGCTTTTTTTCAGAGGTGTTCTTTTGTATTCAGGTTGCAGTTAGCATATCACATTCCATGATAATCAACATGTTAAGGGATCCTTGATCCCTTTATTTTGTACACATATTGGTTTATAGACTTGAATGTTAGGCAGTGTTCACTGACTTGCAATGTCTTGCATTTTAGATCAGTTAAACTTTTTGTAGTATTAGCAGCCAAATGT